CTAGAGTAGTCTGCTCCAACGGTGTGTACTGAGAACACTGTGGAGTTTGGCATTCCTCTGTTCTGCTCTTTGCCTCTCCACTTGCCTCCTCTACCCCTTCTCCCTCTCCTACACCTGGCTTCCTACAGAGCTTTGTCCCCTACCCCTTTCCGTCCTCCCTCCTCTTGTGTACTACTAGTTAATGCATACGGATGAGCATCATTAAAAGAACAGAAAAAATATGAGCTGAAGGTCTGAAGAAAAGTGAACAGGAGTATACCTCCCCCTGTACTGTCTCCTTTCATAATGTGCAAGTGTGCCATTTCGGCGCACATTAAAATACAATCAGCGTGGCCGGCCTTGAGAGGCACAGTAAAAAGAGAGCTGCAAGAACAAATAGAAGGGGTACTCCAAAGAAACCCAAAGAACACGAAACACGAAACAAATAAAAAAGCAAGTTTGACTTACGGCAGAAGGTGGGAAGCTACATCCATTTCTAAACGGAGGCATCTTGACACCTTCTGTGGTAAGATGAACCTGAGTACGGACGCCGCCCGGCCGGGCTAGGCCCAGGTGGGCCGCCCGGGCAAACCGGGCGGGCAAAAAAACGGCCCAGAATTTTATTTTTATTTTTTTTGAAGGTGGGGTCCTCCTGTGCTCGGCGAGAGGACCCCGAATCTGCAATAAAATTCTGGTTTGGGGGGGGGGACGAGTTGCCCGGGTGTGAGGAGGGGGATGGGTGGGGTGGGGGCGGGTTCTGGGTGTTGGGGACTCTGCATGTATGTTAGGGTATGCCGTTAGGGTATGGCGGTCGAAGAACAAGAAGAAGAAGATGGGCGGAAGAGGAGGAGGAGGAGAGAAGAGAAAGAAGAAGAAGATGAGTGGGATGCGGAGGAGGAGAGAAGAAGAAGAAGAAGAAGCAGAAGCAGAAGAAGAAGAAGAAGAAGAAGAAGAAGAAGAAGAAGAAGAAGAAGAAGATGTGCTATGCCGGCGTTAGGGTATGGCGGCGGGGTATGGCGGCGGGGTATGGCGGCGGGGTATGGCGGCGGGGTACGGCGGAGGGAAGTAGTAGGAGAGAAGAAGAAGAAGAAGAAGAAGAGCGGAGAAATTTTTTTTTACCTGTCGTTTATCTCGCGACCTATCGCTAACAAATTTAAAACAAAAGAAGAAAAAGAAGATCGTCGGAAGAGGAGGAGGAGAGAAGAATAAGAAGAAGATGAGGCGATGAAGAAGAAGAAGAAGAAGAATAAGATGGGTGGAAGAGGAGGAGGAGGAGGGAAGAGAAAAAAGAAGAAGATGAGTGGAAGGCGGAGGAGGAGAGGAGAAGAAGAAGAAGAAGAAGAAGAAGAAGAAGAAGAAGAAGAAGAAGAAGAAGAAGAAGTACTATGCCGGCGTTAGGGTATGGCGGCGGCGTGGGGGTATGACGGCGGGGTATGGCGGTGGGGTACGGCGGAGGGAAGAGTAGTAGGAGAGAAGAAGAAGAAGAAAAAGATGAGGGGGAGGAGGAGGAGAGAAGAAGATAAAGAAGAAGAAGATGGTAGGGGGAGGAGCAGCAGTGAAGAACTCGAAGAAGAAGAAAAGCAGAACTATAAGAAGAACAAGAAGAAGAAGAAGATGATGAGAGGGGGAGGAAGAGGAGGAGACGAGAGGCGGAAGAATGATCGGAGAAGGAGCAGGAGAGTAGAAGAAGAAGAAGAAGAAGAAGAAGAAGAAGAAGAAGATGATGACGAGCGGAGCAGTTTTTATTTTTTTCCCCTTACCTGTCGTTTATCTCGCAACCTATCGCTAACGAATGTAAAAAAAAAGAAGAAAAAGAAGATAGTCGGAAGAGGAGTAGAGAAGAATAAGAAGAAGAAGATGAGGGGGAGGACGACGACGAGAGATGAAGAAGAAGAAGAAGAAGAAGAAGAAGAAGATGAGAGGGGGAGGAGGAGGAGAAGTGAAGAAGTCGTGGAAGAAGAAAAGCAGAAGTATCAGAAGAAGAAGAAGAAGAATAAGAAGAAGAAGAAGAAGAGAGGGGGAGGAGGAGGACGAGAGAAGAAGAAGCAGAAGAATGAGCGGAGGAGGAGGAGGGAAGAAGAAGAAGAAGAAGAAGAAGAAGACCGGCACTCCACGTCGACGGGCGGCAGGGGATGTCGGCAGGCAGGAGCACCACGATCGACGACGCTGGCAACGGGCGACAGGCGACATGACGACGACGGGCGAGTGAAGCTCCCAGGCGATGGCGACGAGGGCAGCTACTTCGACGAGGGGCAGCAGCACGAACGCAGGCGGCTGGAGCAGCTATCGAGGCCCCATTTGGACAGCCAATGCAGGCCGTCCCAGCCAGTCGCTGGTTCAAACGGGGCCTCCGTTTCCCTCCAAAAACGAACGGCTCATGGATGATCGACGGCCAGAGGGCCGTCCCAAATTCAAAAAAAAAAAACAGGCCTCACAGGCCCGACGCGCCGTTTTGTCGGCGTGGTCGGACCTGGTAGGCCCTGGGGAGGCCAAAACCACCCGATGTGGGTTTGGAAACCCCTCGCCAACAAGGTGTGCTGGGGGTGCCCGGCCCCCAACCGGGACGCCCGCCCGGCCAGGCCGCCCGGGACCTCCCCCGGGCAGGCGCCGGTCGGCCGGGCGGCCCGGATCTGTACTGAGAGATGAACTCAATTTTTTTATTTTATTTTTTGAATTTTTTTTGTGTCCCTACAACACACCCTCATTATGCTGTTCGTTGTACACAAGTCAAAGTGCCCTTTTTATGACTGTGTGACTCTGTGTCCGCTCGACGCGAAACAGACAAAGGACTTCATCTTATGGCAGAACGGAGGAAGGTACTTCTGTTTTTATAACGTTTTAATCATAGAAATCTTGCTATCTTTTGTGGCAAGATGAACATGTTTCTGTTTGCTTGACTTGAACAGAACAAGCCCTCATTACGCTATGGATGCGCTGATACAACGCTCCAGAAGATGCATTCAAACTTTGCGAAGCATGTACACACACGCACACTGCACGTCATATGTTTTGATAGGTATGATGACAGTCAATACTGCACTCATGTACGGCACCCTGACATGTCGTGTCCAATTTGTAGATGGGGGCTGGAACGTCAACCCCTCTACAATTGCGGTCGGCGCGCCTCTGTGTTCCTAGCATGTAGGAGCCACGTGGCCTGTGACATCTGTCTACGCCATGCCATTCGATGCAGCATTTGTGACTGCGAGAATTGTAGCGGTGGCCACTTACCATAGGCAACGGCTGCTCCTCAATTCAAAATCTTATGCAACCCAAACACTGAGTGGCCTCATGTGCCATTCTGGAGTAGTCTGCTCCAGCTGTGAGTATTTAGAACCCTGTGAGAACTCCACCTCCTATTCCTTCCTCCCTGCTCTTCTGTGCTACTAGTAAATGCATACGGATGAGCATTATTAAGAGAACAGAAAACATAAGCTGAAGATCTGAGGCGCAATGAACAGGAATGTACCTCCGCCTCTACTCTGCCTCCTTTCAGAGTCTGCAAGTGGGCCGTTATGGCACACGGGGATGTGGGCAGCTCGCACTCAACCACAGTGAACATGGCGAGCCTTGTACATGAGAGGCACAGTAAAAGGGGAGTTGCAAGGAGAAATGAAATGGGTACCCAGAAAAGCCAAAGTGAACACAGTTAAGAAAGGGATTTGAACTTTAAAGTTTTTAACATTTTTATTTTCCTCCGTGTTGCTTGTTATAAAGGTAAAACTGTTTCATTCCTGGTTCATCCTTTAAAGTGTTTTCATTGTCTGCAATAGGACTAAAGCTGCTTCGATTTTGGCCCTACTCATCTGGGTGGAATAGGGGCTTTTGGTGAAAATTCAAAACACACACACACACACACACACACACACACAGACAAAGTATTTTGGGGTGCGGAAAGCCCCGAATTTATTTGTTTTGTCCACTACAATTTTTACAGAGACGGGCGTGAAAATTTATAACACACACACAGACAAAGTTTTTGGGGGTGCGGAAAGCCCCGTATTTATTTTTTGTGTTCACTACAATTTTTACGGAGATGAGCAGGGTGTGCAACCACACCCTGCCACTCTGAAATTTTTTTGGTTGATGCTATTTAAGGGGGTGCACCGCATTGCACATGCACTTGCACCCATGCACTTGAACTGTGCGCCGCGCGTGCGCATCAGCTGTACACGTGATGCGCTGCAAGCATGTGGTAAACTCTTTCATTCTTGGAATGGCTCATCTCAATCTGCTCCATGTACCTTGCTTACGGAGACAGAGGCGGGGKGTGCAACCACACCCTGCCACTCTGAGAATTTTTGGTTGACTGCTATTTAAGGGGTGCACCGCATCTCACGTGCACGCGCACCCATGCACTTGAGCTGTGCGACGCATGTCCGCCTCAACCGCACATGTGATGCGCTGCAAGTATGAGGTAAACTGTTTCATTGTTAGAATGGCTCACCTCAATCTGCTCCATGTAGCTTGCTATAGATGTAAATTTTTTCATTGTTGGAATGGGTCATCTCAAGTGTGCTTCATTGTCTGCAATAGAGGTAAAGCTCCATGAATTTTTGATCTTTCCATCTGGTTGGAATAGGGGGGGCTGTTGTGGTGAAAATCTACAACACACCTTCACACCCACACACGTGCGCAGACAAGGCAAACAGGTGTGTACGCATCCTCTTCTCAAGTACACAAGACGTGGGTGGCCTGGCACCACCCTAAATACAGAAATGAAATCGCCGTTTTGCCGAAACATCATCTCAATTATGATACGGTAAGGCTCCGTAAGAGTCTTGTCTTCCGTTTATGATAACTATTCAGCCAGTTGGAAAAGGGGTTGCTATGGTGATTGTTTAAAAGTTAAAACACACACACACACCACCGACATATCTCATGTACACATGGAAAGGAGCCAGACCCTGCAAGTCTTTTACACATTAGCTGCAGTAATTTGGAGTTCCTTACAAAGCTGGTTTCCGTGTGGGTTAATATCTTGCCCGTATTCATTTTTGTGTGCGTACTGTGTTTCACAGGTCACAAAACGTAGCTCGCACCAGAACATTCAGTTCCAGAAGCTATTCTCCCTGCCTGACAACGAGCCACTTATCAACGACTATGCCTGCTCCCTGAAGAAAAAGATTTATGTCCAGGTAAGAGGCACTGCCATTGCAAAGCTTGTCCCCCCTCTGGGGTCTGTGCAACTGCTCTTGTGTCCAGTGGTCTGGGATGTCGCAAAAATGAAAAGAAGCGAGGAAAAAAGTGTCCCTCAGTGTCTTGGCAGAATGTGATGAACGATCCTTGACGAGTTGATACTTAAACCTGATCTTGGACTCTTGCCAGTTCAGAGTGAAGATGAGAAGGGTGAGGCGAGTCCCTACCGGATCCTCCAGTGTTCGCCAAACAAAATGCTCTCTGCTGGGCCCATCAGGAAGGTCATTGTGAACTTTGATGTTCTTTTTTTCCCATTGGAGGTTCTCCTCTGATGACATTTGAGGATACTGGTAGGCTGTTTTTTCGGGCGTCCGGGCGCCCAACTTTTGGATACACGCTCGTGTGCCCGGCTGGGCATGACCCCAGGGCAGGGTTCCAGGCAGCCCCATGTTGTGTGGAATTGCAATGCAAACGACTTTCGGCTGAGGGTAACATCAGAATTCCTCACAGAATCGAAGATTAAAAAGAAAATAACAGCATCACACTAAGGAACCCCCCTCGAAACCCCTTCAGCCCCTTTAAAACCAGTTTATACCCCCATCTCCACCCCTGACAGCCAGCATGCCTGGGTAGCCCGGGCGTCATGCCCGGGTGCCTGGCCAGGTGTGAAAATCTTCCTAGATTTGAGGCTCTTTCGTTCACACATTGTCTGTTATTGTATGTCTTATGTCAACTTACTTGGCCCGCATAAGGTGAAAGCTTTGTGGATGTACCTTTTTTTGTTTCACTGACTTTGGGCCACACTCCATTGCACGACATTCTAATCGCATCTGGACCACTTGCGGTCAAAATGTTGTATGAGTGACCACTTGCGGTCCTGGTGCATTCAAAATGTTGTATGAGTTCAAATGGACCTGGTTTAGGTTGCAGTCCAGGGACATGTAGAATGTTGTGTAACGTAGCGAGGCCCATTGTCTGTGTTGCTAATGTACGTGACATGTCCACGGAAGTGTTGACATCTCTATCAGAATACGCTTGCTCTTTATTTAACTCATCTAGTCTGCGATGCATCAAAGTGTGTGGCACATAGATCCACACAAGTTGACATCTGTGTTGGAGGGCACCTGCTCTTCATTCAGCTACCACTTGCCGAGTAAGGCATAGGGGTGTGTGGTGAGGGAGCGGTCACACTGAAAGAAGAACGGAAAGAGAAACCACGGAAAAATCCAAAAGAACGAAAGAAAAGAAAGATGCGTACAGACAAGGCGAAAAGAAACGGTCAGTGTCTCGTGCGGTCTGCTCTTTTCTTCAGTTGTTTGGCAAAGTGTTCCCTTTTAGTCCGTAGGTGTGTGACAGTATATAGGGACGACATACCGTGCGCTATGCAATCTCAAGGGTCTGGCACTGCTGACTATTTGGTATGGGTCTATGGCGAGGAAGGACTGGATGAGTGTCCACAATCAGGTGTGACTGGCTAGTCAGACCAATTCGACTCGGTATTGCATGTCCTATGCGACATACCGTGCACTATCCAATCTCAAGGGTCTGGCACTGCTGACCATTTGGTATGGGTCTATGACGAGGAAGGACTGGATGAGTGTGCACAATCAGGTGTGACTGGCTAGTCAGACCAATTCGACTCGGTATTGCATGTCCTATGCATATCAACTCGCTACTTGCGTCTCAACAGGAAAACCGCAAACTTAACACAAGAATCCAGCCGCGATCTTGCTGACAGTGTGTAGACAAATCCTTGCCGCTTGAAAGTTCACGATCTGACTTGAGTGCGAGTTCCCCGCCATTCAATTAGACTCACCAATTCCCAACTCTGTAGCCCATGCTCACGCTTTGCTGACGAAGAAACAAATCCCGAGAATACTGCCACCTGCTAGTGATGTATTAACTATTCTGCCGTAGTTTTCAGAATATGCTTTTCCCCCACCAATCACGACTTTATGCAGTCCTGCATAAAATTATGCTACTGAGGTAAGCAAAAAACGCAAGCAGGTCTATGTTTGAAGCTGTGTCCACACCTGGATTGTCTGGTTATTGTAGCTCGGCCATTTGTCCCAGTGGCGGCCCTGTCTTTGCTGGCGAGTGTAGATGACAAAGCACAACATGGTGGGTAGGCATGGGTGGGGAAAAGCTGGAAGGAGTCGTGGATGGTAGTGCAGTTCCGCATAAAGACTTCTAATGAGGGGGACTTAATGGCCCTAAAGTCGATGAGCATGACTCCCTAGCCAGCTTTTACTGTAGGGTTGGCTATGAGCTGTTGAGACTTGTCTTTATGAGTGCTATGCAGGACACAGCAAAACTTGTGATCTCGTTTCTCATCGATCTCGTGGGGGTTGAGTGGAAGGCTGAGTAAAAAGAAGAGGTTTGGTGATTATGTCTGTTTCTCTTTTTAAGGGGGTGAGCCCGTAACATATGTGAGGTATGTCTGAGACTCTGAGTCAATCGGGATTCGAATGGGGGCGCTTGATGCACTTCAACATGCGTGCACCACTCGGCCGAATGAGTTGGGTCCTTGGCGATTGTACAAGGAACCTGCACAGGAGAAATTCTTATACTATAAGCATCATGAACTTCCAACAGAGCTGGCAACATTGAGGTCTCTTCGATGATGACAAGCCCCCTTCTCGCCTCCCAACAAGCCATATAACAACGATAGGAACAGTTTCTTAGCCCCTGCTGGTCTCTCTGCTGGCATGTATGATCATATGCTATCCTAACCTACTCTATACGCCATAAGACAGTGCTGTAGTCTCCTATTGCTCCCTCCAATGTGTGCTGGAAGAACATGTCGCACTGGAACTCTTTTCCGGATCCACCAGGTAAGTCCCTCGCCGACCTGTTTTCCCTACGGTCTTCCTCTTCCCCCAAAGATCTTCCCTTCTGGCGCATTCAGCCCTGTGCACTCCGGTGCCTTACAGCTATGGCACCTGTCCCATCCTCAGCGCCGTTCGGCTATGGTGGGGATCCCCTTCCTCCTTAGCATTCCACAGCTATGGTGCTGGCTGACTGCATAGTGCTGCCCTCTTCCGGCTGACGCTGCATTGACTTAACGCTCCTGCAGCCTGGCAGCATCCTGCATCTGAATGTCCCTTGGCCTTCCCTGGCCTTTACTTGTTTACTGTGGTGGGGTCCTATTTGACCAGTAGGTACTTCCTTCTGTTACTCTTCCGTTGACCCGCTGGGTCCCAGGCAGACTTACCGGATCCTTTTCCGGGCGTGACAGGGCGTGCATGCCGTTTGACCCACACCTAGGGCGTGCTGGCCCTCCGCTGCCTGCCGGGAGGATTATGGGGCCTCGAAGTTGGTCTAGGCAAAAGAAGTCTGTTAAATTGAAAGCTTGTTACAACTCTGTTTTCAGTTAATGTTTCTTTTGGAGGTGTCCTTGATTGCATGTGTCCTTGATTATGGTCACAGGCCCTGATAAGAACAACACCTAATAATGCACGTGGGTTATTTGACTGTTCCGTATAGGCACGGGCAGGCCCCCAGAAAGAGGCTCAGTATTGTGTGGAAACCATGGCAGCAATCCAGACTGTCCAGCAATCCATGGACGTGAGTTGGATGTCCAGACGGGATGCATCTTTGCAGACACAAAAACGTGGACTGCAAAAATTGGGGGGTTCAGGTCTTGGCAGGGTGGGGGGTTTGGGCTGGGAAAGGGGAGATGGGTCATCGGAGGGAAGGTTGAGGGGACGGCCAGGGATAGTTTATTTAGAGGAGGAGGGACGGGATGGGAGGGAATAGGATGAGGAAAGCCCCCGTAATGTTTTTTGTTTTGTTTTTTTTCTGTGCGCGCTGGATACACAATCCATGAACCGAATGTGGATGTGGAGGCAGCACATTGGATCGGACTTGTCCGCAGCTGTTATGGAATGCCCTATTTCCCCAGTCCTTGTGTGCACCCTTGTGTGGATATTTGTTGTTGATGTTGTGATGTGCGAGGAATGAACCCTCGCAGGGCCCTTATCAGACATGCACCTGTTCTGGGCTGAGGCCCTCAGCAAGCCCAGTGCCCGCCCTAAGTGAAGGCGGGCCTAAATATTCACCAGAGGCCAAAATTTGACATCTGCCATATGTGGGTAGTAGGGTACTCAGGCAGTTGCAGCACACCAGTTGCTTGAGAGGAAGCGTGAGCCCTCTGCGCTGCACCGTACAGTTGAGCCCAGGCCGTGGTAGTTGCGCCTGGGCACACACACACAATGTAAGGCAGATACATCACGAATTGGCTACAGGCCTACGAAAAAGCAGCATTGTCGACGTACATGCCCCGGGTCCTGTGCAAATGCAGCAAACGGCCTAAGTCTGGAAATACTGGCCGCTGCCCAACTGTAAAGGGCCCAGGCCCTCAACTGCACAGCTGGGCCTGGGCACAGGCACTGGGGCCTGACCGGAAGCTACAGGAAGCTTCCCAGCCAGGCCACACACAGCCAAACAGAGGCTGCCACTTCCATATAGGGAAGGAGGCAGCCAGCGTCAGGCATTCTGGCCCACACAGGCATTGCAGTCACGCTGCTGCGTTGCTGCGCGATAGGCTGCGTGCTGCGCTAGCGGCCAGGACACATGTGGGCGTTTGAGAGGTGAGAGGGGCGCTGATGGGCAGCGGAGGTGCTAGGGGGTAAGAGGGTGATCTGTGGTCTTCAGGAAGGAGGCGAGTGTGGGTGGTCAGGGTCTGATGAGGGGAGACGAGATACGTACCTGGTGCATGAGGAAGGTCGGCTATGGTGTTGACGTCATGTACATGGGTCTTCAAAGTCTAAGTCAGCCTGTTGCGTGAATGGGGATGTAGTAGGATAGGCAAGTAGTGTAGGCTGGGCGCTGGGCGCCAGACAGAGAGGAGCGACATTGGATACCGTGTTTGTGTGGCCTAAGGGCTTGAACAAGGGCTCATGAGTTCATTGTATTGATCTTATTTGGATGGAATCTCTGTGCATTTGTGCTCTCTGCTTGTACACAACTACTTGGACATCTGTGTGATTTCACAACAGGGCTTTCTGTATATCGTTCTCAATCCGTTGTTGCCAACATTATTGTAAATTGTGAATTATTATATTAATTGTGAGGCATTTCAAATCAGCCTTATGAAATTTATCCAACCTAACCTGCTTCTTGCACAACGAGAGGCTTACCCATTTTCTCAAGCTTATGAAATATTCCTACGTTAGTTTTCCGACTTCACCTCCCCTCCGGATTTCTCTCCCAACCCAACCCACATTTTCTGAATCTTCAGTAGCCTGGGAAAGGGCGAATCTGAAATTCACCTCTTGCAAGTCTGTCAGTATGGATGGTATGAACTTCTTCTTTGAATACATTTTTTTTTTCACTTTTTCAACATCCATAAAAAGATGAAGACGTGCGATGGTCTAATGGGATGCAATCTCATGTGTATTGCTTGTGTGTGAAGGGGCGCCTGTATGTATCGCTAAGGCTGCTTGGATTCTACTCAAACTTGTTTGGGCACAAGACAAAGTTTGTAATATTGTGGGAGGACATTGAGGACATGAAAGAGCGCCATCCTTCAGAGACGTACGGGTTGATTCCCAGCATCACAATCTATGTGCGCAAGGGACGGGGCCTAGATGCGAAACTGGGATCCTACAGTACGGACAATGACGGCCGTCTCAAGTTTCGATTCTCGTCATTTGTGCGCCCTGGTCCAGCCTTCAGGTTTGTCACACCTGCCTTCGCTCCTCACCTTTGCACTTGCCCAGGAGTCGAAGGTTGTGAATGAAATGTATTTGCTTTCATGATTGGAACAGGCTTTACTTTCCACACTTAGGGTATGCTCACACTAGAACGTTTTTACTTTTTTCGGGACGGAATCGCGGCCAGATGCATCAAAGGTAAGGCCATAAATGTGGTCAGATACGTTTAAGAGAGTGCTAGTTTGAGTACGCCCTTACCAAGCGTGTACAAGTCAAGGAGGAGTTGTGATTGGGAAGCGCGTCCTGTTTCATGATTGCCCCATCCTTTTCATGATTGCCCGATCCTTCGCCATACTGTATGAATACTATGAATTAAATTGAATTTGCGTATTTTTAAGTGGAGGAAATTGTGATTGGGATTGCAATGCGCTTTCATGTGTGTGGGATCTCTTTGTGTTCCTTGGTTATGTATGCATTGTCTGCATAGCAAAGTAGAGTTGAATGTGGGGAGAGTTTGCGCATGTATATAGTAAATACTAAATACTGTGTAGCCATATACTATATCATCCAGCAGAGCTGCCCCGTAAACCGTAGGCAGAGAGGGAGAAGAGGACAAGAAACAAGGGGCTGTGACAGACTGTTTCGTTGGAGTTTCACCAACTCATCAGGAGGCTGAACCCTCTACTGTCTGCAGAATGCCCTAACTGAATACACTGTAATTGATAGTCTACTTCATTGTAAGTGATAATCCACCTTAACCCCGGCCCGACAACCGATACCTTGAGGTGGGCCCCGGCCACTGCCCTCAAGGTACCTGTGACGAAAATCAGAGCAGACTATCACTCACCCACACCAGACGGAAAACTCAACAGACTGCAGGTTCAGACCCCATCAGGAAACAGCAAAACACCCACAAAAAAAAGAAAGGTCTGTCACAGCCAGAAAATACATTCCCTACATGCCGCTGCCATTAGAGGCACAGCATGGCCCTCAGCGACAGCGGCCTAGTGACGGCCACTGTATATATCGTCAAACATGCAGAATGTGCTATAGTACGTATGCACTACATAGCTAGGCAGCACATCGGAATATCTGGCCCACCGTTTTTGTCCGGACTCATCTGGCCGGATAACTTTTCCCAAGTAAATGCATGGAGATGATCTGGGCCCAGTGCAAAATAGAATATTTTATTATTGTTACCATTTTGATTTTCTGTTTGAAAAAGAAATCTGCAATCAGACTCGCTTCTTTTCACTTCACATGGATGCAAACAGATAGCAAATCGCTCTGGCGCAGAGCCCCCACACAACTCAGAGACAAACTTGCTTCAGAATGGCTATGGCGATTGCACGCTTCACTTCACTTATCAACTCAGAGTTTACATCCACTGTTTACACACACTCACTCTGGATCTCCCTGGATATCCCACACGCTCACACACACTGTGCTTCAGACACACCTCTCTACTCACTAACCACTAACTGCTAAGCTATGGCGGCTATGGCCGCTTACTAACACTAGCACTGGATGTTCTCTCCTTCCTTCAGCCCACTTCGACTTCGGGCATCTGCAGACCACCTCGCACAAGTCGCCTTGGCAGCGCTTCCGCATGGCTCACACAGTTATGAATCAATGGCTGGACGCTGCCTCTTGATTTATACTTCTGTTGGCCGCTGGTCTGCCCCTGTCCACCGGGCCCTTGGTGCACACAGTCCCAAATGGTACTTGCTTACTGGACAAAGTGAGACTGGGACTGGGTACTGCTGACTAAGCGAAGTTGGACTCACCACTTGCCCACTTGCGTCTGGTCTGCTGTGAGTACCGTGAGAACAAACTTGAAAGGCCACTTCCGGACCTTCCGGAAGTCTGTGGACTTGGCCTTTCGGGACTGTAGCAGCTACGACCTTGACCTTTCAGGACTGCAGCAGCTACAACTTCTACATTGACAGACCTACAGATCGAACCCCTACAGCTACACAGACCTGCGACAGACAACAGTCAACTACCAAAACACAGGTCACGGGTTCAAACACACAGGGGTCGACTTGTTACTGTACACGGGTGTGGAAGGTCTAAGGATCAAGCCCTGGTCTGGATCTGTTACTGCTAAAGTGAAAAACTGTTTCACTCCCGCCGGCCTAAATTCGAGGTCCTCCGAGAATACTTCAGTCCAAGGCGGGACCTTTACCTTTCTTATCTCTCTCATAGGCTCGGACTATATCGGGAGCTGTCTCTAGAAGCTCTGTTCGGGTAAACCAGCGGTCGTCTTCAGGTTCTTGATAGGAGAATCTGACTTTGTACTGTTTTTGTGGACGACCTCTACCTCCCGTTCTGAAGACATCCTCACCTACTATGCGATCAATGTCGTACCTTCCATCCATATCCGGAGGAATCATAGATCTCCGTGATGGGAACTGCTGACTCGTGGTGCAAGGCAACAACTTTGATGCATGAAAAACTGGGTAGACATGGAGGTGAGCTGGAATCTCTATCGTGTAGGACGGTCCATCCTCTCCGCCCTTGACTTCTAGGACTGGCCACGGTCCTCTGTAAGCAGGTAACAGTTTTTGTGAGATGTTCTCCTTAGGAGCAAAAACTCTTTAGACTTGACCCAGACTAAGTCTCCTACTTGGAACTGTGAAGGGCGAGGATGCTTATTGGCTTGCTCTATCATTCAGTGTTGGGCCTTCTTGAGGTTCTCAACTACGGTAGCGATCTCCTTTTCGTGCTGCCCTACCGGGCGGTAGCCTCTGAATCTGATCCCGGTTCAGTCCCTCGAACGGTCTGCGCGGTCTAAAGGACTTATGCAACTCGTTGGGAGTGCGACAAGTAGCTAAGTGCACGCTATTACTATAGGCGTTGGCTACCTTTGGGAGCATCTCATCCCAGTTAACTTGGTCAGGGTCTAATATACATTCTCAGAACCTGCTGCAGGATTTTGTTCATCTGTTCAGTCTGACCGTTGGTCTCTGGGTGAAGGCCAGATGACATCAACAACTTAGAGCCATAGACTCTCATCAACTCCTGCTAGTTCTGACTGGCGAATCTAGTATCTCTGTCACTAACTATGGACAGAGGTAGACCATGATCACTGACCCAATGGTCGAAAAACTTCTGTATTAATAGATCTGTACGTGCCTCTGAGGGCAAAGGAACAAAAACTGCATATTTGCTAAATCTATCAACTATGACCATGACTTGGCTCTTGCCATGCCTACTCCTGACACCTGCGTCCATAAAGTCGATGGACACAAAATCTCCGGGTCCTTCGGGAATAGGCAAGGGTTTGAGAAGACCTAGAGCGGCTCGCGTAGTGGTCTTATTCCTTTGACATACCTTAGAACTGCGTACATACTCTATGCAATCGGCCTTCATACCAGGCCAAGTATACGCGCGCATGAGGTTGGCTAATGTTTTCTGCGAACCGAAATCTCCCTTTGTATCATGGCATTCCCCTAGGATCAGACTTCGGAACTGTTAGGAACACACAGTCGGTCCACTACGTTAGTCTTCTCGAACAATAACCCTTCTGTAGCGTGGTAGTCTGGTTCTAAGTTTGGGGCGTCCGTAACTCTCTTGAGGAGGTCGCTATAAATAGGGTCCCGCACATACGCTTTCTTAACTTTCTGTTGCAAGTCTCTTCCTATATTCAGATAATGCACTATCGCTCCAAAGTATTACGCTCTCCTACTTAGGGCGTCCACAACTACATTGTATTTCCCCTTGACAGGCTTGAGCCAAAGTCATACTGACTTATCTCTGCGGCCCACCTAGTAAGCTTAGGTGTCATCTTGGCCTGCGTTTTCAGCCACCTTAACGTCTCGTGGTCTGACTATACTTTGATGTGCCTCTCAAGCAGGTAGTGCTTCAAGTGATCTAACGCTTGTCGGAGAGCATAGAGTTCCCTCCCATAGGTGGATGTCGCTACCTTTTTTGAAGGCATTCTAGCAGCTATGAACTATACGGGTCTATATCCATTGTTGTTGTCTTGCTGTAAACAGCACCTATACCGTACTGACTTAACAACGAAAGGCAAAGACGGATCGGCTACCTTGAGGACTGGGTACTTTATCAAAGCCCGCTTTAACTTCTTCAGGGCTGATTTACAGTCTTTATCCCACTTCCAGATTGCCTTTTTCTTGAGCAACCTGCGAAGGGGAGCAGAGATGGTGGAAAAGTTCCTGACGAACTTTCTATAATAATTTGCCAACCCTAGAAACGACCGCAACTCTGTCAACGTGCAGGGAGTTGGCCAGTCTCTAATCGCTGCTGTCTTACTGTCCTCAAGCTTTATGCCATCTCCATCTAGAACGTGGCCCAAGTATAAAACCTGCGTCTTGGCCCACTCACACTTCTTCGCGTTGATCTTGAAGTTAGCTTCTCTCAGCTTCCCCAAGACCTGCCTCAGATGGCCCTCATGCTCCTGGAGGGCTTACTAAACACTAAGATGTCATCTAGATATACAACTACAAATCTATCTAACCATGGTCTAAACAAGTCATTCATGCAACGTTGAAACGTAGCTGGCGCGTTGGTTAGTCCAAAGGGCATCAGTATAGTGCCCGTATCTGGTCCTGAACGCCGTCTTGTGCTGATCATCAGGATGGAATTCTATCTGATGATAGCTTGACTTCAAATCCATCTTAGATAAGTATCTGCAGCCCTGCACTTTATCCAACAAATTATTTATCCGAGGCAGTGGTTCTGCGTTCTTCACTGTGATGGCGTTGAGACCCCTGTAGTCAATACACATTCTTAGCTCTCCCTCCTTTTTGGGAACAAATAGAACAGGCGCTCCAAACGGAGACGAGCTCGGCCTAATCCAACCCTTCTCAAGGAGCTCGTCTAACTGTTTTCGCAACTCCTCTAACTCCCTTGGGGACATTCCATATACTGCTCCTTTGGGAGTTCTACTGCCAGGCTCTATCTCAATGCAATGCTGGATCGGTCGTTGTACTACTCCTGTAGGCGGCTCAGACAGATCTGCATAATCCTTAAGCAGCTTGGCAATACGGGGATCTA